TGCTGTATGCCATTGAAGTGGTAGTGAAAGAGCAGTTATTTTTTCATCTGTTGTCCATTAAGCAACTGAGTCTTAATCAGCCAAAGGAATACTTGGTCCTTGGGATCTTAACTAATGGCAAAGCCAAGGTAATGTGATTTCGCTAAAACTCTAGAGGAATTCTTTAAATTATATCAAACTTCCAGGGGGCCGGCTAGCTCAGTCGGTTAGAGCATGGTGCTGATAACACCAAGGTCGCGGGTTCGATCCCCGTTCAATCCCCATGTGTTGCCTGATCTAGTTGAGAGGCGTCCCTACCCGTGACAGGGAGGTTGGATTAAATGATCTCTAAGGTCCCGTCCAGTCTAGGCCATTCTATGATGATTCCTAAAAAAATTCTGTGCAATATCTGTGATCTGAGTTGTTTATCATGGGTCAACTGAGCCAAGCTAATTTCCTAACTCAAAGTCAATTGTTTTTATTGTTGGGCCCTGAGAGCTTTTAACTACTTTGTTGCAATGAATACAGAGAATTATACAGTCATTTGGATTGAAAAAGACCTTTAAGTTCTTTGAATCTAACCATTCACTTTGCAATACCAGGTCCACCACTAAACCATGTCCCTAGACTATGACTAATGTACAGTTAATTTATGTTAATTTATTAGATACTTCCATGCTTGCTAAATTTAATTTGTCTCTTTTGACTTTGGATTGTTTTTCTATAGTTTTAATTTAAGGATACTCCAAAATCAAAATGTCATGTCAGAATGGTCCTAAACCTTTTAAGAGATACCTCTAGAGATCGGGATCTGAATTTAAGCTACAAAACAAGCTCATTCACTTATTTGAATCACCAAACCCTCAGATCAGAAGATGATGAAGCTTTTGGATGCTCACAGTCCAGATCTGATTCAGTAGAACATGACCTTCTATAAACTCTTTTGATACAGCAGATGGCAGCAATGACTCAGCCACTAATCTCATGTAATGGATCTCTCCCAGTAAAATGAATTCTCCTACCTACGTCATATCAGACAACAGATATTTAAATCTCTCCAAACTTACCTCACATTCATAGTGTCCCATATCTTCATTGGAAGGGTTCTTGACCACAAGGACTATTATGCCGCTCCGTGGTTCACTGAAAGTCTGGTACTTACTCGTGTCCTTCAACAATACACCATCTTTGTACCATCTGCATGGGGAAGACACCCAGTATAAGCCAAGAAAAAATATGCAGCGTCAAGAAGTCCTCAGCTCACTGATCCACCTATCAGACCAGGGCAAACGACTCAAGAGCTCATCATTAGACCAATGTTTGGATCCTGGAAGACAGGTCTACAGGTGGGTAGATCACATATGGGTACTAAACTGCCTGGGATGATGAGATTTTTCTCAAGAAATCTCACCAGTCAATGCAGGCAAAAGGGTTTGAAATCGTGAGAAGATATACTGAGGATTTTGTCTGAATACCCCAGACTGGTGGCTCATACGATCAATTCAGGTGTAAGGCAGAGAGGAGAAAGGGATGATGAAATGTTGTCAGGACACTAGATCTGATACAGTCCTGGGACAGGGATTATGTGCAGGTATTTGTTTTCAGATGCCAGCTAGAATAAATTGCTGAGAATCTCAGGAGAGTTGAGATCAGGAAGAGCCAGCACTGCGACTGAGTTAAGGTGGAAGACACAGAGAAGAAAGGGTCATAACCTTGAAAGAAAAGGGCAAGAGGCTTTTCTGACCATGCAAAACAAGAAAACAAGATTTGTTCCAGTGTGACTCAAAGAACTGACCTGATCTGAGGCCTAGGTGCTCCTTCGATAGTGCAGGTAAACTGAGCATCTTCACCCTCCACAAAATAAGCGTTTCTAACCTTGTTCACAAACCGTGGTGGCACTGCAAAACAAAGATAAATGTAGCTAGTAGCTGGAAATACAATCCAGATATGAAAGATGTGTCTGTGACCAGAAAATTCTCATGATGTCTGCAAAACTAAAGACCAAGTTTTTTGACCTAAGAACAGTTGACTACACCTATACATCAAATAATTTTTGTTAAAGGATTATCCAGCAGACGTTATGCAGAACTTCTGGAATGTTTTAATACTCAAGTCTAAGGTAGTACATAGCAGACTCCTTTAAAACAATGCATCAGTGCAGAACTTTACCTTGAACAAGGATCTTTCCTAAGGTACTGGCATTTCCAGCAGGACTGGAAGCAAAGCACATGTACTGTCCTGAGTCAACACCTGTTAGGTTGTCCAAGATCAATGTGCAGGAACCGTCGGGATCTTCTATTATGATATGATGGGGATCCACCTCCACTGGCTTTCCATCTTAAAGACGAAAGGGAAAAAAGTCTTTGTAAAGAGTTTAGTACCAATTATGTTTTCTCCTTGGAAATTTCATCCAGCTTTTTGGCTTGAGAGGACTGAGAGCTGTTATTTGCTTAATTATAGCTGATGTTGGTACTTGAGGAATGAGCTCTTCATCTTCTTCCTGCTCTGTCCAACATCCTCCGGGCAAAGCACTGTTGAGGGACCTCAAGCACTATCAATTGTTGTTTAGACTTTATATTCTCCCAGGGTAAGTGCAGTGCAGTTACAGCTCTGATTTTCTAGCCAAAGGAACATCTCCAAATTGACTAGAAACATGGAGAACTGATCTTACAAAATGTGAACTTAGAGAAAAGCTGTTTCCTTTGCAATACAGTGATGCTGGGGAAAAAAAAAGTATGTCGACAGCTGCCGGTGCTATGATGTGGGAACATCTGAGCTAGTTCAAACAAGTTGTTGCTACAACACTGGAACAGGTTGCCCAGAGAAGTGGTAAAAGCCCATCTCTGGAAGCATTCAAGGCCAGGTTGGATGTGGCTCTGAGCAACCCAATCTAGTTAAGACATCCCTGCTAACTGTGAGGCAGTCGGACTGGGTGACCTTTAAACGTCCCTTGCAATCCAAAATGTTCAATGATTCTATGATTCATTATTGGAAACTGCCTAACTGCCACAAGACGTGGCTTCATACAGGCTAACAGGCAAACCTGAAAAAGCAGGTTATATTAGCTCATAGGAAAAACAACATTACTTGGGTTGCTTAGCAGCTAACTTTAAGACTAGACTTGAACATCTCTACGTAGACAGCTTTTAGATTACCCACCAACCAGCTGGCAAAAAAGTGATACGGACGGAGAACAAATTTAGTGGATGCTCTTCAGGACTTGCTGCTCATACCTTTGTACCAGCTGACAGACGGTTTGGGAGCTCCTGTAACTTTGCAAGCCAGCTTGACTGTCTCCCCCAGCTCAGCCGTACAGTCCGCCAGTTCTTCCTCAAAGTCCGGAGGTACTGAAATATCAGAATACTTGTGTTAGTCTGGAGGAGGGGGCCTTTGTCTGTAGGATGGCTGCTTCAAAGCAATGTAAGAAGAGGTATAATGTTTGCAAATCTGTGAGGTTCAGAATGGAAAGCTGAAGGGGAAATTTTAGCAGCGAATGATTTTTCCAGCTGACATGCTGTCCTTGCTTATCTGAGACTAGATTCAGTCAAATGTCTGTTGTTGGCTGTAAAGAAGGGCCATAAAAAAATGAGTTTTGTATTTTAGGTCATGATTTTAATAAGCACATCTGTTATTCAGACACCACACGGCTGTCACAATTAAGATAATTCACCAATATAAATGCAACCTTGATATCCAAACTAATGCTCTGTTGGTCTTCACAGAATAAAATCTATGCTTTGATTAAGGGGCTTTTATTTTAACTTCTACCGTATGAAACTATGCAAAATTATTATTATAGTCTTCCTCATTAGAACATTTTGCTAATAGCACAAAAATAAAATGCCCAGACTTGGTTTCAGGGTATATACACTGTTCTGACAGATCTTACTCTGTACAAGACACCATTTGTGGCTTATACATGGACATTAAAGATCTAATACTCCCACCCATACATTTTGTGAATAGAAAATTGGTGGAACCTCAAAAGACAGTGAGGATGAAGCAGTCTGGGTCACAAGGTAAAACTCCAGAGCAAATCCATGTGTCCCAGATAGAGCAATGTGAGTCACAGGTCTGGAGTGGAGGATTCAGTACCCAACAAAGCCACAGGGGGTTTGTGCTGGTATCAGTAGGGTTTTGGGTCAGGTCCCGAGACTGTTTTTCCCACTGGAGTTTGACAGCCTCCATGCAGTGGGCCAGGGCCTTTGTCATCATATTCTGTGGTCATCCACCTTTCTGTAATCCCTGCCAGAGCAAAAACATCTCTAATGTCAACTCCGCAATTTGCGTTCTAGAAGTTTCCATAACATGTTTCTTTTCTCCAGTAACGCACATTTTCTGGGCTATTTTCCTGGAAAACAAAATCCTCCGTTTATGGAGAAAAATGTATGAATATAAAGACAGAGGACTGAGCAACCACTCTACTTTTTGATCCAATGCAACCCACATCAGTTGAAACATCGAGGGACAGCCGGCTCATCTCATCAGCCTGTGTTTTGCATATGTGGGTTATGGACATCGAAGAGTAAGTTGGAAGTTACTCGTCCCCTCTGCTAAAACCTAAACAGGTCCTGTGAGACCCCTGTCATGTAAGCTCAACCACTTTGGTGATGTACAGTCTTGGCGTCCTCAATGGCAAATGGAGAGAGTCAAACATCTCTGTCCTATCCTGAGCAAGACACCTTCCTCAGCTCAGGAGGAGGACCTACATGCTAAAACCATTCCAGTTAAAACCTGCTGTGTGCTGTCAAGTCACATGAGTTGTTATTTACAGCAGTCTGTGATGTGACTAAAGGAAAATCTCCAACCCTAGTTCAGTTTCAGAGGTGGTAGATGACCCTAGGTGGTTTCTCTCCTTCTTTTGTTAACCTCTTTCCTCCTTATTTACTCTGGGTTGTTCAGCGTGGAAGAGGCTTCAATGAGACCTTACTGTGTCCTTTCAATATGTAAAGGGGCCTATAAGAAAGACGGGGATAATCTTTTTAGCCAAGCTTGTTGCGATAGGACAAAGGGTAATGGTTTTAAACTAAAAGAGGGTAGATTCAGACTAGATGCAAGGAAGAAATTTTTTACAATGAGAGTGTCGAAACACTGGCACAGGTTACCCAGAGGTGTAGTAGAAGCCCCAGCCTGAAAATGTTTAAGGTCAGGTTGGACAGGGCTCTGAGAAACCTGATCTAGTTGAGGATGTCCCAGCTCACTGCAGGGGTTTGGAACTAGCTGACCGTTAAATGTCCCTTCCAACTCACACCATTTAATAATTCTATGAATCAGGGAGACCAGTTAAGAAAAAAATAGGATGTTTGGGCCATCTCGGGCCATACTCACTCCAGACAGGCTCGCTGATCCGCTGTTGGATGCCACAGATCTCCTTCACCCAGGAGTTCTTGATATTCACTGTACGTGCCTGAAGCAGATATTTGCGGACCAGGTCTTCCCGTTCATGCCAGATCTCAAATGCCCGGTCATCCCCTTCCACGAGGTCATTCACGTCTATGTTGTTCAGCTGAGTGACAGAAGCACAAGAAAGTCAGCACACACCCTGTGTTCTTAGGGCTGAATTTCACCCAGAACCTTGGTCGGGCTTGATGGGGCCCTGATCAACCTCCTCTAGTTAAAGATGTCCCAGCTCACTGCAGGGAGGTTGGACTAGATGACCTTTAAAGATCCCTTCCAGCCCAACACATTCTATGACTCTATGATTCTATGACTGATTATATGATTGCTTCTATTATGATTCTATGACTGATTCTATGATTGCTTCTATTACTCTATGAATTTCCATAGTTTAGGACAGTTCAGATCTGTTCCCAGACTTTGTGAACCAGAGCTATTTTCAGTCAAGGTTTGAAATGAAAACATCTATTGAACACTAGCAAGTCTCTTGCTTCCGGTGTGTGCCCTCTTCGTAGACATGAGTTCTGCCATTCCCATTAAAGCTGTGTTAGATGCTCCAAGAGCAAAAGGGAACATTCACATCACTTTTAAAGTTTTTTTAGACTTCATGAGTGATGCAACGTCGTTTTTGCTGAACAACAATCAGGGCCATTTTGCAATCCTTCTCCTGGTATAGCTGATATTCTGGTTACCAAACAGGTATTTTCTGGGAACAGTTACCACATATCAGCAAAACAACATCTAGGATTAAAACGTATCCCAGGGTGGAACACACTGACCCTTCAAAGAAGCACTGCTGGGCCCAGGGACAGCACAATTAGGGACTATATGAAAAGAAATTACAGAGAAGGCATTCTCTGGACAAAGCATCATTTTTTTTTTTTCCTCTTGGAAAGTAAAATCTGCTTGTCAATGCCAACAAGGACAGGAGTAAGGACTTTCAGAAGGAGAACACGGTTTTGTTGTAGTTTTTTGCTTTTTTTTTTTTTTTAATACTGAACACTTACTGCCTTGGCAAAACTCTTTCTGCAATTTCTTTGCAGTTCTGACCTGAGCTCTGAATCTCTGAAGATGAGCTGGTCAAATCCTCCAAATGTCTCATTTCTGAACAGAAACTGGTGTCAGGAAAGGACATAACCAGTGGAGAACCACTGGCAATGTAGCATATGACTAAACCAGCATCTCCTCCAGTTTGATACCAGCATGGCAGACTTCCAAACCCAAAGATCTACAAATGCTAGCAAATACTACAAACAGCAAAATATCATGCAGTTAACTCAATGAACTAACAGAGATGAGCAAGGACTTGTGCGTGTAACCTCCTTGTTGCACCGTAAAAATCCACCCCTGCTTCTAATGGTTTCTGACAGGTTTAGCAGAGAGATTTTGGGACAAACATAAATTCTACTTGTGCTTCAGAAACTTTCAGAAACAGAAGAACAGTTCAAAATGTTAGTGAAATGTATTATGTAGGCAACAAGAATCTGGATATAAATGTGATGTTCTCAGTGACAGAATAATGCTCCAGGTGAGGATGCGATGATCAGACCTTCATTATGTTCTTGAAGATGTAACTGTAGGTCTCTGTCCTTGTGTCTCGCTTTGGTTTGCAGATCACAATGTAGTTTCTGAAGAGGAAAACATGTCTTTTGTGTCCTTTCCATGCCATTCTAGCTCCTGGAGCTCCTTCCCACACAATGAAGTGGCCCTGATAGGAAAAGGAAGGAAAAGCACATAGTGGTAACTCAGATAATAAATGTTTGCTGCTACATTGTCATTGTGGGTTTCTCTGGTTTACAGCACAGCAGGTTATTTCTAATGCTAAAGGTGATGCATCAGACTGACAGCACCAACAGGGATGCACACAGTGGTTGTCATTACTTTGACCTTTAAATGGTATTTGCTGCCAGAAAAATACAGAGCTCATGTCAAGCAGGCACACTCCTCCAGTACTAACGCTGACGGAAAATTGTATCCTGCATGTTATGCAGACACTTCATACTCTCACTTGGTTTCCTCACAGCAGCAGAACATTCATTTCACATTCTTTCAAACACGTACAGCTCAGTTAGTGACTTGGGTTCCCCCTTGGCATCATTGGGGAGAAGTAAGCACTGCTGGGGTGTGATTCAAGAGATTGGCTTTTTGTTTAATTGGTTTGTGGGGTTTTTTTATGTCTAAATGTGGGTAAATGACTCCCCCCCCCAGAGTGTCTCACTCTCACTGCAATTTAGCCCCATGACTCCACTCAGCAATATGCTGTGATACCCATGGAAGACATCGGACACAAAGAGGCAGAGTAAATAACCTGCCCAGCATGACACAGAAAGCCTACAAGGACCCAGGAATTTGAGCACGGGTGTTGAAAGTCCTCGACTAGTATCCCAATAGCTGGGTAACCTCTCCTCTCTGCTCTTAAACCACACGTGTTTCATGAAGGAGACCTGGAGAAGCACACAAGTCTTTTGAAGATATATGAACAGCCATGGGACAATGTCCACAAATTGACCCCATGTTTTCTTATGGAGCATGGGTGATGCAAGCTTCGCTACCTGGTACTCACATCCCAGCAAAATAGATTCCTCGAAAGACTTGCGTCACATGAAATCAGGAGGAGTGCAAAGGCTCATTGGACTGCTAACACTTGAGGAATTGACAGGGAAACCCACAGAGGCCAGTAATTTCAAGAGTTAGTCTGTGTAGCTTGGAAGAGTAAAACGGAGGAAAAAATTAAATGCTTTAAAATCATGTGGGGGTTCAGAACAAACCTGTTCCTGTTTGATGAGCAGGCTGGAAAAGCAAATTAAAAAATACATTGTGCATGAAATGCTCCATAAGCATCTGCGCTCTGGTCTTTCAAAACTTAATCAAGTTTTGAAATCCATCTCTCTGAGCAGTAAGAAATACGATAAGCAAATATTCTTTTTCAGATATCATTTCTAAAGCAGCTTCTTGTAGGACCTAAGGCTGTTTAGACACTAGTAAAGACACACATAGCACTAACACCGACTGATAAATTCCAGTTACCTGTCGGATGGGTTCACCAAGGCTTTCCAAGGTCCCTGGGTAGTTCTCAATGAGTGAGACATGCAGATTGTTTTCTGCTCTTCTGGTGAGGGCAGACACAACGGCATAAGCCTGCTCCAGCAAGGTGCAGTTTTGGCTATTTCTTGCTTTGTTTCGAATTAATTCCTACAGATGAACGAAGAAAATAACACTGGGCAGTCAAGATTCTCAATATCTTTTCCAGCTCCTCATCTGAGCAACTTTTATCCCATTCTTTTACCACGAAAGTAGGCAGTAGTAGTTTCCCCTATCCTATCCATTCCGCAGCCTCACTGACTAGCCAGTCTGGCTTTTCCTTACATCAGTTGATACTAAACAAAGTTGAAGCAAATACCAGATGTGATTCAGTGATTGAAAACTGAAAAAAATCAACTCTAAATTGTTTTTTCTTGTGCTTATTCTGATGATGCCACGAGGCAAACAATTCATGTGGCAGTGTGAAACTAAGAGTTACTGCTAGACTAAAAACTGGGGAAGATGGAAAAAATACAAGATGGCAGTTATCCTTCCTTTGACATTTATTTTTGTTCCTCTCCTTTAGCAATGGAGGCATGCTCATGCTCTCTTCCAATAGATCCTTTAAAATGTTGGTATTTGTGTTTAGGCAGGTGTTCAAAATCAGAAACTGAATTTGAATCTTCTTCAGACTATTCAGTCTGCTCATTTTGGGAATGCTAGAATATAGAAATACATTGGCAGTCTTCTTTCTGACTATCCTAGTGTTACTTTTTAAAAAAAACCCCAAACATTAAAAATTACCACTTTGGAACTTTGTGCTCTGGGCTAGAACCTGAGGTGGTAGGACAGATGAAAATGTGAAAGATTAAGCATTCCAAGATGGTAGAATGGGGTAAAGCTTTAATAAAATAGAAAGTTAATCTTATTGCAATATCAATGTGAAATAGAAGGAAAGAAACTGGTGAGTTAATATCTTATACAATGGAAATTGCATATTTTCATAATATACTTGTTGTAGAGTGTGAAGCAAATCCATACTTGCCTTGGGTATGTACAGACTTGTATTCATATATGTGTATATATATTTTTTATATATATATATGCATATATGTTAAGACCATTCACATTAAGCTTGCTGAACTTTATGGGGTTGGGAACTGTGAAGGTCTGGATTTACACTTGCAAAACTATCTAGAGAGACCAATCATGGTGCAGATTACTGCCTAACTCAATCAGCTTTCAATTGTAGTTGCATCAGAAGAAAATTGAGAAATAGGAAATAAAAATAAAGTCTGCATAAAACAGAACATAAACCTATCAGATATAAGTATGTAACAAAAGCTTTTCACCTTGATTATGGTCTGGTATTGCTGGATCCTGTTTATGGGCTTTTCCAGGTAGTGCTGCAATGGTGGAATAAGTGGCTGTGAAGGATCCTCATTAGTTAAAATTTCATCTGTGTATCTCTGAAAAAATACATAGAAGAGTGAGGAAAGGTTATTTTAAAGAATAATAGAAAAGACTTCTCCCTGGCAAATGTTCTTTCAGACTTTACTACCCCATATCTTGGATATCTGTAACTCTCCTCCATCTTTTACCAGTTAGTTATCATTTTAGAGTGCAAGACGTTTGAAATGCTGAATTTGTCTGCTTTTCCAGTGCAGGATTGACACTGGGGAAATGTGATCAAAAGCTTGCAGAATGAGATGGCGTGAAAGGGGGGATCAGCGCTTTTGGGGGGCGGGAGGGCAGGAGTGAGTGAACTCAGAGCCAGACCTCGATCGAGAGCCGTTCACATGTTTGCAGGGCTAGCGACCGCAGCGAGTGAGGGTCTCAGCACTGTCACCTGGAGTCAGAAGCAGAGGTCGTGGGGTCATGCTAGGCCACCAGTCACTGAGCTGGATGTTTATCCTCTTCAACTGACCCAGTGCACTTGGGTGCAACCCTGTGCAGTTTACCAGCAAACTTCAGGTTGGACTAGCTGTTGAGTAGGAGCCTCCTGGAGAGGGTAAAAGTGGTCAGGATCTGGGCAGGGGTGTTGGATGGAAAGAGGAGCCATGCTGCTACCCAAAGGATCCACAAACACGAGTGTGCTCATGGATCTGGAGCCTTGTGTGTGTGTTTTCACTAGTGAATGCAATCCCGGGCAGCTGGAGCAGAGAAACAGGATTTGCCCATCTATACTTAATAATTTATGTGAGTTCACTTGGTCTTATAATGTGGTGGCCCTTAAAACATCCCTTAATTACAATTATATAATCACAAACATATTCAAAACTGCATAAGCAGATCTAAATATGTTCCTGTACTGATTGTACTCACCAGGAAAAGCTAGACAGAGAATACAAAATTATTACATTTAGCAATGATTTTCCACAAAAAAAAAAGTTTAATAATTCACATTTGTAATTAATAACTGCATTTCTCAATCTAGTGGGTTACAGGATGAATGTTCAACAGGTACTTTGGCTACTGTTTTACCTTGTAGAAATCCTGGACAGCTTTGCTGACAACGACTGACTCCGCCTGTACCCTTCCCACCAGGTACTGGATGTACTTATTAAACTCTGCTTCGTTCTTGATGAAGCACATGGCCACGTCATCATCAGTGTCACATTTCTGTAAGCCTCGGAGGAAAACACTGCGGAGACAAATGAGAAAGGATATCTGAGGAGAAGGTGATGGAATGAGGATAGAACACAACCCCAGCAGCCAGACCTCTAAATCATTAAAGAAAACGACTGGGGGAAATGAGAGATGTTGCCACGTTAGCATTAAAGTTTTCCATGCCTCTTCATGATGCTGTCCCTCTTGGCTTGCGTGTATGAAACACCTTGCAAGGAAGATTGGGCTTATTTTCAAAGGCTTAGCTCAAGTTGGGAAGTTAACCCCTCCCCAGACTCTTATGCCTCACTTTAAGGATCAATGAGCCATCCACATGAGAGAAGATAGAGCTCTTCACGCTGTTTCACAAAGGATGTTGATACAGGTTCACATGCACCAAGATTTTGAGCCTAGTCGGTAACGGATGGCATATGTCAGCTCTCACAGGCAAAAAAAACAAACAAAAAAAAAAACCAAGAGAGAGAGGGAGGAAAGAGAAGGAAATCTATTCTCATGGCCCAGCCAGGAGAACTGCAAGATGTCTCAGGTAAGCATCCTCCCCACTGAAGAAGTGGTGTCCCCCCACAATGATTTCCCCCAAAGTAACTATATATTTTTCTTTGCAACCCACTCAAACTCCTTGTTGGTTCCTCCTGCTTACAGTGCTGTTAGAACCGATGGGAGCACATGTCGATCAGGGAAGATGCCGCATGGTCATTGGTTGCCTGAGCTTTGTATTTGTATGTTATTGATGCCCTCCCTAAGGTAAACTAAAAGTTAAGACCAAAAGGTGGGAAATTTGAGAAGCAAGGGTGATTCTCATGCTGTTGGCAGGGACTTCCCATGAGAATGATCACTCCCATTTTGCCTGTAAGATCGTGTTGCCTTTTAATGATAATTCATTACTTTTCAATTAAATTCACTTGAAAGGGTGAGAGATAAGCTGGAGATACGCAGCCTTGAAAGTCTGAAAGGTATTATGGAAGTCCTGACCCAGTGGTCCGACTTAAGCTGTGCCATCATCTATCATCCAAAAAGGACCATCAACTCCCTTGTATCTCAACATCCTTCACAGGAATAACGGTTGCTGTGGCTCTGACATCAAATATGTGGGCCATGCTTTTGTCTCAGATGAAGGCACATGGGAATGCCCACCTGGAATGGAAGCGAGAAATGTCATCGATATTTCTGAAGATGGTGGACTTCTGACTGGCGACAGCCCCCGGGACGTTGGGGCAGGTGTCAGTGAACTTAAGATGATGAGTCTGGAGGAACTGCAGATCTTGAATGTAATCCTCTTCTGAGACCAACAGCTCTTGAATAAGGATGCTGAAGGGAGGACAAACAGGCAAAAAAAAAAGACAGAAAATCAGAATTGTCCTTGAGATGCTGAGAGACTCCCTCAGGGATAGGGCACCTAAAATTACAGGGGTACTGCAGTTTGGGGTTTTGGGATGTCAGATTGCTTTCAGAATGACGTCACATAAATCCCTTCTTGAAAAGTCTCCCCATATGATTTAGATTGCCTGGAATTTTCTTAGGCTGACATCAGTGGTAAAAAGCATCAACCAAAGATAAAAAAATCACAAGGTTGAAAGATTCAAGAGTTTGCTTGATTCTGGGAAAGGGGAGGTGGCAGGACTCAGCAGAACCAAAACATGGACTCTGACAGGAAGGATCAAGATGCCACCGTTCGTCTTAGTTCAAAAGGCAGGAGAACTCAAAGGGGCAAAAACCAAATGACACAGCTCACCTCAGCTTCCTTTTATATTCGTCTTCAGAAACGAACTCTCCAGGGAACTCAGGAACTTCTGTAGTTCCCCACTCTGGTGACAGCTAAAACACATGAAAAAAGAAAAAAATATTCAAGTTAACAGTGCTTTTATTGACGTACACTGAGGAATATCTCTCATGTCCTCACAGGCCCTTTCAACAAGTCCTAAACCAGTACAAAATGCCTTTTTTTTTTTTTTCCCTGGGGGATGATTAGGTCTTTCAATATCAGGAAACCCACCACACATAGAGATGCTGTCTAATCAGAACATGAACACCCTCTTCACCCACCATTCCTTGCATAAGAGACAGCTCAGAACTGCAACAGGAGCCTATAATTTTACATAAAGTTTAAACACAGAATGATCAGTCACCTTTAATTTCTTGTCCAGGTAAGCTGGAGATACCCAACCCTGTCGAGAGGGGCTAGATTTGGTGGGTTTAGTCCTGACCAGCCACTTCAGAGGATGAGCTGAGTCAAGGACTTCCACATATTGACCTTCCTTCAAAGTGATGGTCTCCCTGTCAGGAGCAGCGGGCACGTAGTCAGCCGTGACCATGTAGACATCAAAGATCTGCAGGCAAGAAACGACCATTATTTTGTGCTCGAAAACAGAATACAGTGACACCAGCAGAACACGAGTGTTTATCTGTGTTTGATGTTCTGTTCTCCAGACGTTGTATAGCGAAGAGAATCCCTGTCTGCTTTTTGCACGTAGAATACCAAGTCCCTAGGAAGCTTGGGCCATATTTTCAAAACTATCTGAGTTGTTTTGCACGTACACCATGAAATGGGATTTTTCTCCTAAGGCGAAACAAACCGGTCCTGAAAATATCAAAATAGGTTAACATTTCCAAAGTTCTATTTATTATTTTTTTTTATTTAAAGCGTTTGAAATGAATGTCAAAAAAAATTCCAATTTTCACGGAATTCTTATTTTTCTCATAAAGAACTTAACAAATTCTTCTGACCAACTCTATACAAGGCCACAGAAAACTAAGATCTAACTTTCTGGAGCTCAGACCTGAAAGCAAAAGGTACCAAAACCCAGATATGTTATTTGAATATGTCAGTTTGAACAACTTGTTCGAGATCACAGAGCGAGCATCCAAATTTGATTCTATTTAACCACTAAATAGATCTATTAAAGTGAAGTACATGCCTAAAGGACATGAAGATCCTTAAACCATAGGAGACTGGTCGTTCTAGGTAAAGTTTTCTCCTTGTGTCAAACATGTCCGTAAAGATACCATACCTCTCCTCTGGAATCCCCATCTTCAGATTCTGAGGAGGACTCCTGAGCAATGGAGGAAGGTCTGGATCGTCCATGGCGGGGAGATGCAGAGGGAGTTTTTGATTCATCATCACTTTCTGCACCTGGCACTCGAAGTGTGGCTGAAGAAGCAGAGCAACAGCAAAGCGTGAAATAAAGATCTCTAATCTGAACGTGAACCAAATTTATAATAATTTTTGGTTTCATAAAACAGGATTCCCTAAGAAAAGCATTTACAGGATTTAGTGTGATCTCTTATTCATATTTAGAATTAGATAAATAACTGGGACATTTTAATGCATGAGATTGCATGCCTCCTGCATGTGTCACCACTGCACTGCAAGAAGATTTACTGGAGAGGTAAAGCCTCTCTTTTTGTTTCAAGACAAAATTTTACTGCAAGATAATTGGTATATGATCCAGGATTTTTCATTTAATCCAACAAATCATTGGATTACTGCACAGCTGTGCACACAGTTTTCAGCCTCGACTTTGTTTTAAAATCCCACTGTGAGATAAAACTCGAAGATGTGGGAAGTCTTCAAAACAGAATTTCTGTTAGACTCTGTTAGAGTGATGAATATCTGAGGAAATAATATGTTTAAAATACACTTCTAGTTTTCCAGCTTGCCCTTCTCTCTGAAGCTTGCAGTTACTCTTACTTATTTAAATAAAGACTGTATGCATACAATGGGCACCAGCCATCTCGTTTTACTGAAATAGCTTTTTCTCTAGTTTAGAATTGTAGACCAAGACATGCAGTTTGGATGGACTCTTACTAAAAATTCTTTATCCTAAGCATTTGCAGGTCTTCCTGTGCTTATATAGGATGACTGACACAAAATCTGCTTCATAAATCACGCTGATATTTAAATATTTTTCTACACTAATTGAATTGCGTTTCCCAGGATCCTTACCCTGACTTATTTTTGCAGATACCATTTCTGAGATACGCGAGGTAAGCTTCTGGAAGAATTCTTCTGAGCCAACATCAGCTAGTGAAATAGGGCTTTTGGGTACACCTTCTCTACAAGGTTCAAGGTCTCCTGGAAAAGAGAGAACTTCCTACTAAGCAGGCAATGTAATTGGAAAATCATCTTTTTATTAACAAAATCTTCTGTGGAAGGAGGGTCTAATCTTCTTCACTTTTCCTGCTTTTAAAATCGTGCTTGGTCACGTTTCATCCAAATAATTCACCCTTGAACAGAGATCAGTTCAAACATTTTGGACAGTTTCGAGAAAACAGGACAAAAGTAGGTGGTAACAAAATACATAAAACGATCTGAACTGTAGATGTGAAGGGCAGGAGTAGGAGCGAGGAAAATAGCTTCTCTTACCTTCTCTTGCTTCAGAGGAATGAATATCTCTGAAAAAGAAGCAAAGTGGAATTAAAGGTTAAAATAAAATACGTAGTAAGGAGAGCTAAATGAGAACCACCTCCCCACACACCTTGTATGTGAAGGCTGGGAATATCTAGGTTAGGTCTCTGCTTTGGACTGCAGGTGCTGGTAACTGATACGAGAGATGAGAATTGGGACATCCGGCTTGGGAACATTCATGTGTCTCACTCTTTGAGTCAAGTCCTATCTGAGAATTCTTTATTCTGCTGGAGAGCAGTGTAGGAGAAAGAGACCTGGGGGTACTAGTGGGCAGCAGGATGGCCATGAGCCAGCAATGTGCCCTCGTGGCCAAGAAGGCCAATGGCTTCCTGGGGTGGGTTAGAAGGGGAGTAGCTGGTAGGTTGAGAGAGGTTCTCCTGCCCCTCTGCTCTGCCCTGGGGAGGCCACATT